CCCAAATCAGGCCAATTCCCTGTGTTCCTTCCCAAACTGAGGAGTAGCCCATGGCCTCTGCTCTCCAGCTACAACAGAAGGAAGTACAGAGCCTGCTGTTCTGGGAGAGGAGCTTCTCCTTCCTGCCTGCTTTCCCTTTGGGACAGGTTGGTGTGTGTACATTTGATAAAAGGAGATTTAAACACTGAAGGAGCTGTATTTCAAACTGCTCCATGCTTGAGCTCTTCTGTGGGTATTCTTGGACAAAAGGCCTCTCTGTGTGAGCTCCCAGTGGGCAGGTTAAGGAAGGAGGTTGATATTTCAGGGTTGTGACTGCTGAAAGCAGTTTCTAGAGGTGTCCAAAGCTGGGAATGTCTTACTTTTCTTACATGCCTGCAAAAAAGGAAGTGGCAAAGTGGGAATTTTGCTTGCAGAGATAGCGATTATGTGTGTTTTCCAAGAAATGGACTGGCAGAGAGGCAGGTCTTATGCTGTGAAAAACAAGGTTCATTTTCTTGGTAAAATCTAATAAAGGACAATAGGGAACAAAGATAATAAAGCGAAGATTAACAGCCAGGTGCTTGGTGTTCTGCCAAGAGCACACTTGCTATTTTGGAGACACCCTTTATATATCTTTTCTATTGTATCAGCCTGTTGCATTTTTATAAACAATTATACATATTTAAACTTTTCCTCAAACTACTTTACATGTGCCAAGAACTGTTTAGCATGACTCCTCCTCAGGAGCACCTTTTTAGAGCACATGCATTCCCCAGCTGTGATTTTAGTCTGTTCTTATTATCATCTCCAGTTTGGGTTTTGGTCCATACTTTCTTCAGACTGTAGGTGCTGATAGTTGCAATATCAGTAGCAGGGGCCTTCATCATACATTCATTGGATGTTATCCCAGCCAAGCAGGCAATTCAACTGCCACAAGCATAACCATATCAGCTATTTCACTACTGCACCTGAGTTTAGTTAATAGCAGAAAAAAACTATAGCAAAATTTCTTGAACATTATACAGATAATATCCATGTCAATATTTTGCAAAAAGCCAGTATTATAATAGGTATTTATAACAGTGCAAAACTGACTGTCTCTGTTTTGGTGGTGAGGAGGGTCAGAGACACAGACACACTAGCTGAAGGAATAGTGGGATTTACTATCATGCAGAAGTGCAAAAGAGAATCAGAAAAGGATAAGCTCAGCAGTGTACTTCATTATTATTACAGAAGCTTGCTTCTAGTTATTAAGAAAGATACATCATCAGATACCCTAATACTTTATCCTTCATCCAGATCCACACCTCAGCTGGACGAAGCTGTCCCAGCCAAGCCCTGCAGAGCCACAGCTGAGAACTGTGAAATTGTGTGGCGCCCCCACCTTTGCCAGCCACAAGGCTTCTGACTGAACTGTGAGAGTAGCCTGGCTTTGACAGTGCTGAATGAGCAATCTGACAGAGCTTCTGATGTGGGACATCTGGTTCATTCTCCTCTTGGTTTTATCCCTGAGCCTGGCCTGGACTCAAAGAGGAACCAAGGCCAGCTGTGGCCTTGTCCAGTTTCTTAATGCTGAAAGGTGAAGATGTGTTTCACCAATGAATGGATGCATAGATCATGTTGATAGTACTACTTGGTTAAGGTGCTGATACATAGAATATTTGGTTGGAAGAGTCATCTAGAGAGCAGCTGTGGCTCAGGGCCTGTTGTTCAGGCCTTAGTTCTTCAGTATTTTGTGGTGCAAATCAATGCTGTGCAGAGCTGGAAACAAACAAGTCCCTCTTTTAGCACATTTCAGACAGGGAACAGGATTAGCATTGCAAGGCTGGACTATGGCCAAGAGCACAAGTCCAGCACCCTGCATTTGCCCACAGGAAGCTGTCCAGACCAAGAAGGCCACTCCTGCCCAGGGGCTGAGGTGCCCAAAGCTGCCTCCCCGCTTGCAGCTCTGCAGAGCCCATGGAGCATGGGGTCCTGGGCAGCCAGGGCAGCCCAGCTGCTTTGGAGCACAAGGAATGTCCCAGAGAAGCTGCCGCCCTTTGCTTTTGTAAATGTGTCTCAAAGTCTTGCCATTAATCCACAGTGTCTGACATGTTTTCCTTTACTCTCACAAGTATAAGATAGCTTTTTGAGAAAAGTGACTGACGTAGCTTCTGCTGCTTGTGGTGCTTTTGTCTGTACGTCAGGGCAGGTGATTTGAACCAAGGACGGAGTCCGCAATTGACACCTCCATTTTGCCAAGTCGAGAAAACCATTCAGAATTGGGCTACTGATGCTGAGCAGGTTTCCTAGTTTTTGGAAAGTTACAACCTTAAAAAGCCAACAGATTTTCCTCCATGAGGATACCAGCAGTAGCATGATGCCAATTCTTTGCACCTCTTTTCTCTATCTTCGGTGCTTTTAAGAGTTCCTCAGTGCCTAGCAGGAATGAAAGCACGTGTGATAATGTAAGTGATTTGAGAGCTGTGTTGTGCCTTGCCGCATCAGTGTTCATGACAAGCTGG